CTTGATATCAGGTAAGTCTGCGCACAAGACCTCTTTAAAGTGTTTAAAAACAAGGATGTTACTTTGAGGGCTAAGATGTGCCTGATCCAAGCCATGGTATTTTCAATCACCTCAAATGCATGTGAACGTTGGGCACTGAATGAGGAAGACTGAAGAAGCATCAATGCATTAGAGGTATGGTGCCGGGGAAGAATACTGAAAGTGCCATCTGTGGACTGCCAACGAACCGACACATCTGTCTGGGAAAAAACACAACCAGAATGCTTCTTAGAAACAAGGATGGTGAGATTTTGGCTCGTGTACTTGAGACGTGCTCTCAGGAGAGACCGGCATGGAGAAGGACATCATGTTGGGTAAAGGGGCAGCGACAAAGAGGAAGACCCTCGCCAAGATGGATGGACACAGTGGCTGCAGCAATGGGCTCAAACATAGGAACGATTGTGAGGACAGCATAGGACCGGGCAGTTGGTCATTCTGTTGTACACAGGGGTCGCTATGAGTGAGAACAATCAGCACCTCAGGACAACAACCAGGCATGGCATCTACAATCACCCCATATGCTTGTGCAATCTGAACAATGGATAAAGAAGACCAAGGGGAAATTGATGCCTTTGAATGATGGTGCTGTTAAAGAATATTGAAATGATCGTGGGCTGCCAGAAGAATGAACAAATTTGTCTTGGGAGATGTACAGTCAGAATGCTCATTATAAGCCAGGACGGGGAGACTTCATCTCACATATTGTGGACAGCTTATCAGAGTGACCAGTCCCTGAAGAAGGACATCATGTTTGGAAAAGTAGAGAGTGAAAAAGAGGAAGGCACTTATGAGATGGTCTGACCCATGTAATGTAACCATGGGTATGGAAGGACACAGAACCAAGCAGTGTTTCAAATTGCTGTACATGGGCTTGCCATCAGTGGAACAGACTAGCTGGTACCTAACAACAAGAACAACAACAGAATAAGCTTTCTGTTCAGTCTGTGCTTTCTAGTGCGTTCGTCTTTTGTCTGCAGAAGAGCTCTCTCTGCTTGTATTGCACAGTGAATAGTGGAAGAGTTCTGTATACTTCACTGATTTGGAGCGTTTCACACCCATCCTTAAGGTAATTTATGATCCGTTGGGTTGACCGCGTCGCAATCCAGATTGGCAAATAAGATTTCTGTAATAGCTCAATCACATGCAAATGCAATAAATGTTGAAATTGTGTATCTTTTGATGTGTATATTTCCATCAAACAAGAAAATAAATTAAAATTTCACCTATTAATAATGATTTGGCCACAGTCAGGAACTATGGAGTCTCTGGGCACAGAGGAAATTTCCTAATGAAGAATGCAAAATCAAACAACTGGCAAGTTTGGCAACAAGCTACCTCCCAACAGGCTTGCTATAGTCATGATATTTTAGTTGGATATGATTTTAAAACACTGTGACAATAAAAATAACAACAAAATTCCAACCCCATTGCCATCAAGCCCATCCTAACTCATGGCAATCCTATAGGACAGTTTGTGTGAGTCTGCGTGGACTAGAGAAACAAATCCATGGACACTTATATGTGTATCAGAAAGAGATTTATAGACAAGAGCAATTGAACATTTAGAAAAGCTCAAGCCCAGTCCAGATCAAATCCATAATCCGATATTAACCCATATGTCTGATACCAATCTATAAAGTCCTCTTTAGACTCACAAAACACATGCAATGATGCTGAATGTAGAAGATCACAGGCCAGTGGGTAGAAAGTCTTTGGATCCAGTGTCACTGGACACATCTCAGTGCTGGCAGAGGTTTCTGCATTAGTGTGGGTCCATGTGTTTTGTCAGCTGCTAAGTCTCCCAGGGTGTGAGCAGAGAGTCTACCCCCTCCAAGGAGGAAATACTGGAATTCCCAGAATCTTTAGGGGAAGACTATGCCCACACAGAAGCCTCATTGGCTATGACCTGATTGACAGGCTAGACTCCTTCCCTACACACTTAATTCTTAAATTGACAATTATATAACTACCAGTCTTTTTATCTTTTTTTTTAGATATTTACAAATACTCTTTCATATACATCTAGTTCATAGGTTTTAAAAATAGTTTGATTGGCATATAATTAATATATCATGCCATTTAATCAATCATATTAAGAATAGCTGTACAGTCATCACCACAATGAATTTCAGAATGTGTTCTTGCCTGTTTTCAATGTTAATCCCTACCCACTTCTCCTCATCCTCTCTGCTGTCCTTCTACTGGGAGTAGGCAAACATTTGAGATGGAAGAGCCATGCCTGTCCATCGCAATTTAAAAATTATAGGAGAGCCATAAATATATTTTTACCAACAAAAGCAATCACCATTATCTGAATAATATCCTTTAAACTTTTTCAGTTTTGCTTGAGCACTGAAAGAGCCAAAGGAGCTGCAGATGACCTATGAGCCGGCACTTTGCTGATCCTGGCTCCAGGCAATCACAAATCCAGCCGCTGCCTCTATAGCTCCACCTGTCCTGGATTTCATAATCAGAAATCATACAAACACAAACAGGAAGCAAACCAACCAACCAACAAACAAAAAAGCCCCATAGCAATGACCAGGCATAACATAAAGGGCCTCAATCAAAGAGAGAGCAGAAAATATTACAAACTGAAACAACTTTAAGATGGGTCAAAAGGGAGATCCAATGGGTATTCCATCTAACCTAACTGCATCTGCCATCATCAACGTTCCAATAGATTGTGTTTATTTTTATGGAAATATTTTTATGGAATGCCTGCTGAGTTCGAGCCACTGAATTTTTGACTAGTAGTCCAGTCCTTAACCTACAACAACATTAGGGAGCCTTAGATCACAAAAATGAGAAGAAAATCTTTCCTAGAGGGAAGAATGGCTTACACCCTAAGAGGGTCATTTAACAAATAGCCCCAAATGACACCTGTTTTCTCTGCTGCAACCCCTGGCGTCCGTCATCTAGGTCCAGGTCGGTAATGTCTGTGCCAATCTCCCACAGAGCTCTGGCACCAACGTTCCCTTCTGTGGAGGGGAAGCTTCCTTCCTTTCTCCATCATTGCTGTGCTAATCATTGATATGGCATTTTCCACGTGTCCCAACTCAACCACTAAAATACAGTGTCTTCACTCTTTGGGCAAGTTATCAAATATTTGCAAAGCGACCAGTACATAGTAGTATATGAGTGCTGAATATGTTGGAGGGGGTGGTGTTGTGTGCCTGCAGGTTGATTCCAACTCACAGAGACTTTACAGGGAAGAATAGCTCTGCCCCATAGAGTTGAAGGCTGCATACTTTATGGGAGCAGATTGTCAATCTTTTATCCTCAGAGACATGGGTGGGTTCGAACCACCACTTTTTCTGTTAGCCGATGCGAGCTCACGCATTATGCTTATGAGGAGTCATAAACTGCCAGCCTCGCTGCCATTGCCATCCAGTTGAATCTGCCTGATAGCAAGCCTAGAAGGCCGTGGAACGCTGCTCTGCAGGGGCACTGAGCCTGTCAGTCTTTATGGCAGCAACCACCCTCATCTTTTTCCTGCGGCGCAGCTGTGGGGTTAGAAGTTCAGACCATGCTGTTAGCAGCCTGATGTTTCACCTGCGGCGCCTCCAGGCATCCTTATAAGGAGGTAGAAGAAGGTGAAAAAGAATATGAAAATACCTGTAGCTAATCAGCCAGCCTCAATATGTGCACAAATCTTCCAGCAGAGAAGTGACCATTTTAAATATACCCAATGGATTATACAAGCCACCAGTTAGTCTACTTAGGCACACGCTTGCTCTCGGACATAACCCAGGTGTACAGTCTTTCTCCCTAATCTCATATTACTGTCGGTCTTAGGTCTTATTTGAAAGCATTGCTGTATGGAGCAAGAAAGACTATAGTCCTCTGATATCTGTTGGCAAAATTGTCATCTGCTGTGTTCGAAGCCCTGGTGGCATAATGATGAGCTGTTCCAAACTAGCAGCGAGTCCAAGGGAGAGAGACGAGGCTTTCCATTCCCATCAGGGGTCACAGTCTCAGAAACTTCACAGGGGAAGCTTCACCCTGTCCCCTGGGGTCTCTGTGAAAGAGAACTGTCCCGATGCAAGTGAGTGAGTGAGTGAGTGAGTGAGTGAGTGAGCTGCATAGGTACCACGATCGCCAGTAACTATAACTTACCTGCTTTTCAAATTCATAACCCAGCCCTGTCACCTTCACTTTTCCACATCATTTCACTCTTACTCTTCTTATACTAGACAGCTCAGAAAGAATGTCTCTAAGGACAATTAACTTCTCCAGCATGAAGAAGAAGCTTTCTATTTTACTACATGTTTCTCTCTGTTAAAGCAGACTTCCTCAGACTCTCGTGACTATAGTGACTGGGTTCTTCCTAAATTTGTGGAGCCACTTAGTAAAAGTGCTACCATTTTTACAAAAAGAGAAGGACTGCACCCCTAGCTATACTACACCATCGTATGTGGTTAGTAGCACACCTTTGACGAATTCAGCACAAATTAGGAACTCAGAAAATCTATTATTTTCAAGAAGCGGATTCCTACCTAGTTAAATGTGCAAAGTCCACATCGATGAATAACGTAACATTCATTTGAGGTGCTGCAACTCTGGATTTGAGAATATGCCTGAATGGTGTGAAACTGATATTATTTCATAAAGGGTGGACAAGAGCGGTTTCTGGTTTACATGAACTTTTCTGAAGAAAAATACATTTATGAACAAGTGTTGCCACAGACACAGCATTTCATTGACCATAATACCCACTTCCCAGAAATTAATCACTAACACAGTCATTCAAAACCACACGGGACATGTTCCCTACTCTTCATGGATAGTTACTCATCTATTTTCAAGAACCATCACCATGGCTCCTAAAGCTGGTCTAAAGATAGGGAAGGAGATATGTTCAATGATTATTTCTTGGTAATGAACTTCTCTGCATGGTAAATATATACAATTATGAAGAGAAAACACATTATCATAAAATATGAAGGCAAAGAACTTACCCGAATCCAGAAAGTAAGCGGCAGAAGAGAAAGAAGCCGTACCCTTGGACAAACGATGAAAGGAAGGCAAAGAATCCGTTGACAGACATGCAGATCAGAAGAGACTGCTTCCTTCCCACTTTGTCTGCCAGTCCTCCCCAGAAGAACGCCCCCACCATCATCCCGAGGTACACTATGCTGCCTGCAACACACAGAAAACAAAGACACACCTCAGAGCTTGCGAGTAAACGACACAGGCAACCGCAAAGTCACAAGGAACAGAATACACTGCAGCGTTTTGCATGAAAAGATATCTTGAAAAATACCTCCGTGGGGGCACGCTAGCCATCTTTCAAGTTAGAAAGCAGACTCTGAGCTGCGTTTGGCTGTCGTGACTGACTGCAAATGCTAGTGGGAAATTCTTTGTTAATCGAAAGGTCAACAGTTCAAAACCACCAGGAGCTCTGAGAAAGACGAAGCTTTCTGCTCCCATAAGTAGAGTCTCAGAAACTCACAGGGCAGTTTTACCCTGCACTATAGGGCGTTTGGAGTTGGCATTGACTCAAAGGCAGTAAGTTTGGTACCATCTCCATTGGAAGACAAAAGGGTCATGTCTTGTGGGGGTGGATACACTGTGGGCAGGCCTGAGGAGTCTTCATACAAACCATCCTGTAGTTTGACTCACTAGCATGCTGTTGTTTAACTACTTAGGATAATACCAGGACAAGAGGGGAAACCACGTCCAAGTTCCCAGTGTAAAGTGGACCCCTAGTCTTCCTCAGATCTCTGCTGGTAGTAGATTACTTCCGTCAAGGTCGGATTCAAGGGCCATTCTAGAGCATTCCATGAGGCCTTTCTCCCTAATCCCTCCTGCAAACTTTGGCCCTTCTTTGGAAGTTAGGGGAAGTGGTCTAGGAAATGATACGAGCTCATTTTAAAGTGATTGCTAACTCTGTCCACCAAAGAAAATTCTTTCTTGGTGTCAGCAGCTTAAGTAAGGAGGAAAGAAATCTTTGTTAATATCCTGGACAATGGTACACTTAGCATGGTTGGCTCCATGGTCCTATTGGAAACAAGTGGAAAATAAGGAGCTAGGTAGACGTCTTGCTCTCATTATGTATATACACTTAAAATTGTATTGTAATATGTCAGCTTCTTTTAAAATACCAATCCCCACAAATTCATCGCAGACTCTTTCTCACAATGAAGTTAAGTGTGAAAATGTTAGCTTAGGAAGGTTTGTTAAAAAAAAAAAGGAAGGTTTGTAAAAAGGTATATTGTTTTTTTAGGAGACATGTTATACTTAATAAATGCAGTTTGGTTTTATCTGAAATGCAAAATTAAATAAATCAATACTTCACCTTTCACCAAGTTTTGCTTTCCCCCTCGGTTCAACAAAGTATCATTCATTTTTAAGAACATGATTGAGGTACACCATAGTAACAAAGTAAGATGCTGATAAACCCATTCTTGCTTTGGGCTAGTTTGGGAAATAGCCCCACATAAACACTTAGACCCCCAGTTAGTTTGCTTTACCCACACTGAAAGAATCACTGTAAGACCCCCGAAGAAAAATATGTGGCAAGGCCTCATGACAATCACATCAGTGACACAGGACACTGCTGTGCAGATCCTGGATTGTTGACATCTACAAAGGATGGTGCGTGCTAAAGGAACTTTAAAACACATTCTTCTCAAGTTGATTCTGACTCGTATTGACTCTACATAGCATATCCAAGGCTGACATTTTTTTAATTTTAATAATTCATTTTATCGGGAGCTCTTACAGCTCTTATAACAATCCATACATTCATTGTGTCAAGCACATTTGAACATATGTGCTTTATCCTCTTCAAAACATTTTCTTTCTACTTTGAGCCCTTGGTATCAGCGCCTCATTTTCCCATCCCCCATCCTTTCACCCTCATGAACCCTTGATAAAGTATAAATTATTATCTTTTCATATCTTACACTGTCCACTATCTCCCTCCACCCATGTTTCTGTTGTTCCCCACCTTGGGTGGGGGTACAGTCATATGTTGATCATTGCAATCGGTTCCCCCTTTTGCCCACCACCTTCCCCCTACCCTCATGGTATCACTACTCCCATAGTTGTTCCCAAGGGGCTTAATCTGTCCTGGACTCCGTGTGTTGAGAGCTCTTATCTGTACCAGTGTACATGCCCTGCCCTGGAGTAGCTGGATTTGTAAGGTAGAAGTGGGGTCATGATAGTTGGGGGGAGAAGCATTAAAGAACTAGAGGAATGTTGTATGTTTTGTTGGTGCTATACTGCACCCTGGCTGGCTCATTCCTTCTTGTGACTCTGATCCTGTCAACACCTCATGATCACACAGGCTGGTGTGCTTCTTCCATGTGGGCTTTGTTGCTTCCCAGCTAGATGGCTACTTGTTTACCCTCAAGCCTTTAAGACCCAAGAAGCTATATCTTATAATAGCTGGGCACCATCAGCTTTCTTCACCATATTTGTTCATGTACCCATATTGTCTTCAGCGATCGTGTTGGGAAGGTGAGCATCAAAGAATTCCAGCTTATTAGGACAGAGTGTTATTTCATTGAGGGAATACTTGAATAGAGGCATAATGTCCATCTGCTACCTTAATACTTGACATATAAATATATGGCACAGACCTATATCCCTATCATTATATATAAATATACTTAAATATATACATGACTGTATTAGGGACAAGGGACCAACAAGTGATCTAAAAATCAATGGCGAGGAGGGTGTAGAATGTCAGGTGGGGGTTGATCAAGTGTAGTGTAGCTAAGAGGAATTACTGAGAGTTGAATGAAGGTCACACATGATAGTGGGACAGGAGGAAAGTAAATGGAAATAGAGCAAAGAGCAGGAAGCAAAGGCTGAAGATTTTTATGGGAGCAAGGATGTATATCTTTACTTCTCCAAAACTGTATATCTTTACTTTCTCCCATGGTACAGTAGGGTTGGTAGGTTCAAACTGCTGACCTTGTGATAGTCAAAGAAAAAGCTATGAGTTTTGTTTGACTGTTATTTTGTTTAGAGTGGGATACTGCAAAGAGGTAGATTTTGCTTTTGCAGTGTGGATGGTATATTGTGATAGTCAAACAAAAAGCTATGAGTTTTGTTTGATTGTTATTTTGTTTAGAGTGGGATACTGCAAAGAGGTAGATATTGTTTTTGCAGTGTGGATGGTATATTGTTATCTACACAGTGGGATAGACAATAGATAATCCTTCTCAGTAAAGGGATTACGTTTTATCATGAAACCCAAGGGTGTCCAAACCAAACTCCCTTCCACTGAGTCAATTCTGACTCATAGTGACCCCACAGGGCAGACCAGAATTGTGCTTTTGGATTTCTGAAGCTGTAAATCTTTACAGAAACAGACACGCCTCATTGATCTTCCATGAAGCAGTTGGTGGGGTCAAACTGCTGACCTTCTGGTTAGCAGCTCAATGCATAGCCCACCACTCCACCAGGGCTCCTTCATGGGTGTCTAGAAGATGATATAAGAAACATAGTTGTTATAAAGGATATATATAGAAGCCCTGATGGCATTGTGGCTAAAGTGTTAGCAATTCACCAAAACGTCGATATTTTGAACTCACCAGCAGAAGAAGGATGCGGCAGTCTGCTTTTGCAAGGATTTACAGCATTGGAAACCCTATGGGGCAGAGCGCCTCTGTCTTATGGGGTCACTATGAGTCAGAAAGGTGGAAAGGACCTTAGGTTAAGAGTACAGCGCATGAGGATTTCAAAGTCAGACAGATTCACTTTAGGAAATGAATATTTGAAATATTGCTGATTTATAGCATAAAAGGATGTAGTAGTTGGTCAATCAGGAATGACCAGCAGCTAAGCTTCTTCATGATAAATCTCTGTGCCTTTAGTACTGTCTGCATATCAGAAAGGGACTCCATAAATGATGAGTAGTCCCTGGGGTCTGTTTTTGTAGCTGCAGCCCCAGAACAAAGTCTACCCCCTCCACTTATGTCTGGCAGCACCCCTCCTCACCCAGGGTGAGCCACCAGAACACCATTTCCTGTGGCCTATCGAACTTATTCTCTCCAGAATGCAAGGGGAATACAAAGACAGGCAGTCTGCAGGTATTGGACAGTCGTGTATTATTGTTCAATAGTACTAGTAAACAGCAGTGACTACTACTACTTTCCCTGACTGTTTGTGCCAAGCACGCTTCAAGGAACATTCCATAGTCGATTCATTTAATCGTGCAAACGTGGCATCATTAGTTGTTTCAAAGATGAAAAACTAACCTCCAAGATAGAATATAATTGCTCTATTACAGTGGTTCTCAACCTTCCTAAAGCCGTGACCCTTTAATACAGTTCCTCATGTTGTGGTGACCCCCACCCCCAAACCATAAAATTATTTTCATTGCTATGTCATAACTAATTTTTCTACTTTTATGAATCGGGCGGCCCCTGTGAAATGGTCATTCGACTCACCAAGGGGTCGAGACCCAGAGGTTGAGAACCACTGTCTAACAGCTAATACATGGGGAATTTGAGTTGGAAAATTTGTTTCTCTGACTCTAAAACCAGAAGATCATTCTCAGAGTTGACGTTCATTTGGAATGCACCAGGTCTCTTCCCTGACCCCTAACTGGGACACGGTGGACTTTACTCAGGCCCAGAAGGAAAGGATTAATACAGGACACTGCAGGGAAATGGCCGCTGCTATTGTAGGTGCCATCGAGTCAGTTCCGCCTCACGATCATCCTATGAACAACAGAATGAAAGGCTACCAAGTCCTGCACCACCCTCAACATTGTTGGTATGCTTGAGCCTGTATGTTGACCTGGGACTTTACCAAACATGATGGCCTTTACCAGGGACTATTCGCTCTCGATAAGTCTCACTATCCTTGCTTCTAAGTAGCGCCCTGGCGATACTTCTTCCAGGACGGATCTATTTGTTCTTCTGGCAGTTCAGGATATGTTCAAAATTCCTGGAGAGCACCATAATTCAGACGCTAGATTCTTCTTTAGTCATCCTCATTCAATGTTCAACGGTCACAATCATACGCATCAATGGAAAATACCAGGTCTCGGGTCAGGCTCACCTTAGTCTTCAAAGTGATATTTCCTATCTGTAATACTTTAAATACATTCATTGGGGATTTGGTGCAACAGATTGACCCAATGCAATTCATCATTTGATTTCATGACTGCGGCTTCC